CCAGTATCAGCCACAGGTACGTATGCCATCTCGAACGCAGCAAATGTTTAGTGCTAGGCCTCCCAGCTACAATCCACAGAGTAATTTATTCCGCCTCCCACCTAGGAATCAACCCAGTCAGGCCCTTGTCCCTAAAGAAATGAGCGGTGTTCAAAAATTCTACCCTAGGCCACTGCCTCCAGCAGGTGGAGCACGTCACGATTGGCGTATACACGGCAATCCCCCACCTTCTAATTACTTCAAGACCAGAGAGATGAATATGAATGTGTGTTACGATAATAATTACTATCCGGACTATGACTATGAACCTGACTACAATTACTATGCACAGAGTAATAATGAGACATACAACCATCCGGACTATTCTGACTACGACGCCACCCAGATGACCTACCCCTCTCATGATAACGTTTTGGAATATCCTGACGGTACGGATGGCGAAGATATTAACACTAATGACTATCAAAATTTTCAGGCGCACCCGAAGTCAAAAAAACCAAAATAGAAATAAATTTACAGACACAGAGGCAATTGCCATATATTCAAATATCAAATCCACCATTAAAGTTACTAATCGACACAGGCGCAAACCAATCTTTTATAAGCCCACAGGCTATTCAAAATTATTATCCTGACGTTCCATTAAACCATGACCCCTTCGAGGTTACGAACGTCCACGCGACCACCAGAAACAATTATTCAATTACGTTACCTTGTTTTAAAGAGTTTAACGATAAAGAACATATACGCCTCTTTGTCTATAAATTCCATGACTTCTTTGACGGCCTCATAGGACTAGACTTGCTGACCAAATGGGAAGCAAAAATTGACTTAAAAGACAGAACTCTGACTACACAATCTATGGTAAACCCGATTAAAATGTATAACTCCCGAAATGTCAATTTATACGAAGATATTATTCCCGCACAAAGCTCTAAAATAGTTAGATTACCCATTAACGCCCCGGACGGCGATGCATTTGTCCCGGAACAAATTTTTTGCAATTGCGTTATAATTGAATGTATAACGACTGTAACTAACAACCGTGGTACGTTGGAAGTTCACAACCCGACCGATAATGACATTATACTCTCACTAGACCACTCAGTCAGTGCAGATGTACTTAATATAGAATGTGAAACATTAGCACCACCTTCACCGCGCGCTCGAGATGTAATATCGCGCTTACGAACTGACCATCTCAACGAAGAAGCGAAAGCCAATTTAATATCTTTATGTTCGCGCTATTCAGATGTTTTTTACATAGAGAATGAGCCCCTTACCTTTACTAATAAAATAAAACATCGCATTAATACCACGGATGAAGTGCCTGTCTATACAAAAAGTTATAGATACCCTTTCGTCCACCGGCAAGAAGTAAAGGATCAAATCGAAAAAATGTTATCTCAAGGTATCATACGGCCATCAGAGTCCGCATGGAGCTCACCTATTTGGGTAGTGCCCAAAAAAGTTGATGCTTCAGGGAAACAAAAATGGCGTCTCGTCATTGACTTTCGGAAGTTAAACGAAAAAACCATAGATGACAAATACCCTATCCCTAACATCAGCGACGTATTAGACAAATTAGGGAAGTGCCAATATTTTACCACCCTGGATCTCGCCAGTGGGTTCTACCAGGTAGAAATGGACCCTAAAGATGTACAAAAAACAGCCTTTAATGTTGAGCATGGGCATTTCGAATTTCTTCGCATGCCCATGGGATTAAAAAATTCTCCATCGACATTCCAACGCGTCATGGATAATGTTCTCAGAGGTCTACAAAATGAGATATGTCTAGTGTACCTTGACGACATAATAGTTTACAGTACCAGTCTCCAGGAACATATGATTAACTTAGAGAAAGTTTTTCAAAGGCTCAGAGAGTCCAATTTTAAGATCCAGATGGATAAATCTGAGTTCTTGAAGCTAGAAATAGCATACCTAGGACACATCATTACCAGGGAAGGTGTTAGACCTAATCCTGACAAGATTTCGACTATAGAAAAGTACCCATTGCCGAAAACGACAAAAGAAATAAAACAGTTTTTAGGTTTGTTAGGATATTACAGAAAATTCATACCCGACTTTGCGAAAATAACTAAACCTATGACACTATGCATGAAAAAGAACAAAAAAATTACTTTAGATAAAGACTATATAGACTGCTTTGAGAAATGTAAAAAACTGTTAACTAATGACCCAATACTCCAATACCCCGACTTTACTAAAGACTTTATACTGACTACCGACGCCTCTAACTTCGCCATAGGAGCCGTATTGTCTCAAGGACATGTAGGATCTGATAAGCCAATTTCCTATGCATCTCGCACCCTCAATGAGAGCGAGATCAATTACAGCACTATAGAAAAAGAATTGCTTGCAATAGTATGGGCCACAAAATACTTTAGGCCATATCTTTTCGGACGGAAATTTAAAATTTTGACCGACCATAAACCACTTCAGTGGATTATGAGTCTAAAAGAGCCTAACTCGCGATTAACTAGATGGCGATTAAAGCTCAGTGAATACGACTTCACAGTAATTTATAAAAAGGGCAAGAGCAACACAAACGCCGATGCCCTATCGAGAATAGAAATTCACAATGAAGAAACCAGTTCAATGGTTGCCAATCCATCTGAAAAACCACCATCTGTGGATAACTCTGCTACAAATACAGCTCATACTAGTAACGAACATCCAATTCTCGAAGTACCTATAGTAGACGAACCCGTTAACAAATATCATAGGCAACTAATAATGTCTGTCGTAGATGACTTAAAAAGGCGCCCTATCGTTGCAAAACCATTTGAGACACATACCAAAGTGACTATTCAAGTGACAAAAACTAACTTGGAAAGTGATGTTATTGACGCAATAAAAGAATATGTTAACCCAAAAGTAAAAACTGCATTATTGATTAACCCTCCGTTAGCAATGTACGATATTATACCTATAATTCAAGATAAATTCAGAAGCTCTTCCATGAATCTTGTTTTGTCAAAATTCGAAATAGAAAATGTAAAGGAGTACATACGGCAACAAGACATAATTAGACAATATCATGACGGAAAGACAAACCATAGAGGCATAAATGAGTGTTACCTTGCCTTGTCAAAAAGGTACTATTGGCCAAAAATGAGAGATCATATAACTAAACATATAAACGAATGTAGTATATGTGGTCAAAGTAAATACGATAGAAACCCCATAAAACAGCGTTTTAACATCGTACCACCAGCTACCAAACCTCTAGAAATAGTTCATGCTGATTTATTCACAGTACAATCTGAAAAATTCATAACATTCATAGACGTATTTTCGAAATACGGGCAAGCTTACCTTCTCAAGGACGGTACTGCAATAAGCATATTGCAAGCCCTTTTAACATTCTGTACCCACCATGGCCTCCCTCTGACTCTCGTGACTGACAACGGAACTGAATTCACCAACCAACTTCTCGCTGAATTCCTGAAACTCCATAAAATTACTCACCATAAGACCTTACCTCATTCCCCCAATGACAATGGAAACATAGAACGTTTCCATTCGACGTTACTGGAACACCTTCGTATTCTGAAACTGCAACAAAAAGATGAACCGACAGTCAATCTTATGCCGTATGCTATCATAGCCTACAATAGCTCCATCCACAGCTTCACGAAATGCAGACCTTACGACATCCTTAAAGGTCATTTCGATCCCCGGGACCCCGTTGACATAGACTTAACTGAAAAACTACTCCAACAATATATAGTGACTCACCGCGAACAGATGAAGACAGTTTACGACATAATAAATGAGACCTCGTTAGCTGACAGAACGGCCCTTATAGAATCACGAAATAAATCCAGAGAACCCGAAGCTGAGTACCAACCTCAGCAAGAAGTTTTTATAAAAAACCCTTTTGCCAGCAGACAAAAGGTTGCACCTAGATATACTCATGACAAAGTCCTAGCTGACCTTCCAATTCACATATACACATCCAAAAAACGAGGCCCCGTAGCAAAGTCTCGAATAAAACGAGCACCTAAGAATATAAAATTGTTACAGGATACTCCTGGTGCTGACCCCCCTCCTGATTCAAGCCCAGGATATAAGACTTGACAACCTTGACGATGGACCCGGACTTCTTCCCTTTAAACTAGGAGACTCTAGACTAACGACCCACTATCATACGTTCTTACAGTACATACAACTTGATAAGATAGAACAAAACATAATTACGTTACAGAATGAAATACAAGACTTTAAGGATAAAATTAGTAATAATACCTATTTATTATATGAACTCCAATTGAACTATCTACATAATAAAACAAATATTATTTTAGATCATTTAAATAGTTTAGAGCCGAGTAGAACAAAAAGAGGTCTAGTAGACGGATTAGGATCTATTATCAAAAGTATAACCGGAAATTTAGATTATCAGGATGCCATTAGATACAATAATGCTCTTAAAATTCTAAAAGAAAATCAAAATAAAATTGCAGTAGAGTATAATAGCCGTGCAAGTTTAAATATAGAATGGATGAAGGAGCACAATAAGATAATTAGTCAATTAGTTGGAAATCAAGGAAAAATTAATAGTACCCTTCAGCTAATGTTATATGAAAACGCACATAAAGAAAGTAATCTTGTTAAATACGGTAAAATTGCACAATTATTAGCTATCATTACAGAAAACACTAATGATTTGTTAGATGAACTTATAAGAATTGAAAATATACTAGCTTTTACTAGAACCATGACGACTCATCATTCTATGGTTAGTGTAAATGTTCTTAAAATCATGTTAGAGAAGCTAGGTATAATATATGGACAAGACAGGTTGATAGATTTAGATTTTAGGAATTATTATAATATTATAAGATCTGGATCATATTTTGTAAAAAAACAGATAATTCTAATTTTTAAGTTTCCCGTAGTTTCTCCAAACGTTTACAACTTATACAAATTATCCCTAGCACCTAATAAATTTCACCAAATCCTCATTCCACCCTACCCTTACATAGCAACTAATGGAAATGAATTTGCGTACATGGAGGCTGAATGCCCGAAGTATGAAAATCAGTTTCTCTGTGACGAAAGTTCTCGTAAAAAACTCCGCACCCAATTCGATTGCGTACAGGAAGTAATTTCAAGACAGACCATCGACTCGACATGCACCTTCTCAACCATTCATCTATTAAAAGAAGCCATGGAGCAACTTGACGATCGCAACTATGTCATCACCTTCCCCAAGCCAACCAAAGTTCAGTTGAGCTGCAACACTCAGACTTACAATATGTTAAACGGAAGCTTTCTAATTACACTGCCAATCCACTGCTCCCTGCGTACACCCGAGCTCACCATAGTAAATTCCGACGACATCATACAGGGACAACCACTTAAGATTATGAAAATAAATTACCCGGATGGAATGGACAACACAGCATCACCTCATCTTAACTTGAGTTCTATCAACTTGAGAAGTTTACACACCATTCAAGACAAGATTATGTTCAAGCCTCAGTTACAATTGCAGACGATTCCCGATGTACTGTACCATACCACTATACCGTTTTACATTATACTATTCGGTGCAGCTGTACTCGCCCTCGCCGTACTGGCTCGCCGCTACTACGTTTGGAAAAACACACAACCAAAACCATCTGAAAAGACGATCAGCATTCGACGAGATAAAGCCACTGAAACCACTGGAAATCATATCTATGCGAAACCATCTTCTCCAGCAATTTTTTCACTGAAAGTTGGAAAATAATTGCTGATCTGAGGGTGGAGGAATTATATCGCTGAAATCATGTATGTCGGCGCCCCAAATTAGAAGCACATCGCAACAGCGCGTGCAAGCAGTGTCAGCATAACGTGCCGGTGCAACGTGCAGCAGCAACGTGACCAACGTCAGCGTTTCCCCCAGATTGCGTACTTTATAATATTTTCACGACACTCGGTTTCTAGCATCGAACCTAGGCATTAGCTTTAGCACGTAGTAAATTATATTGTAATTTTTATCTTTTAATAAATTAGTTAAATTCAAATTTCGTTTTTTTTAAATCCTCCGGCGGCAGCCTACGTAATTAGCATGTATATTTGGGTCTTGTTATTGACAAACATTTTAATTGGGGACCGCATATTGAAAGTGTGACTAACAAGCTAAGGTCAATTAATGCTAAACTTTCAATTTTAAAGTATAAGTTACCATATCATACTCTTAGAATGTTGTACCTTGCATTGGCGGATTCAATAATTGCTTATGGATTAGGTAGCTATGGACGTACTTACAAAACATACATAGATAAAATATACAAATTGCAGGTTAGTATACTGAAATCGATAGTGTCAAATAAAGTTAAAAATAAATATAATGATGACAACCTCGGTCTTTTCAAACATTGTAAGGTGATGTCGGTTTTTGAGAAGTCCAATATGATTATTTTATTGGACAACTTTGACAAGATTGGCCAAATCATGAAAACGAGCAGAGATGGTCGGTTACGCAACATCACTTACCTGCCCACATATCAACTGCCTAGAACCACTAATACGTACGGTATGAGGGCGGCTAACTACATGTTGCCTGACATACTAAATAAATTACCAGCAGAGCTTCATGAGGATATTTTTTCAAGTGTAAAAAAATGTAAACAAGCTGTAAAACGTTATTATTTCGGTGGATTTAAAGGGCAGAATTCATAACTTTATTTACTTATATTATATTATTTTTTTAGTTTAAATTATAATATTTTTGTCTTAGTACCTATTTAGTTATTGCGACTCAATTCCTTTCGCATAAACCCATTAAAGGGTTTTTGAAAGGAAAATCTAAATGTACATATGTGTTTAATTGTAAATTGAATAATAAATTAAAAAAAAAAAAAAAAACACTATTGCCAAAAGCTCCTTTTCTATAGTGGGGTAATTCTTTTCGGCTTTATTTAAACCTCTACTTGCATATGCTACTGGCCTGCCATCACTGTTACATAGTACAGCCCCTATTGCGTTACCCGATGCATCCGTCTGAAGTAAAAATTCGTTTTCCTCTGTCAAATTAGGATACTGTAGGACTGGTGGACTTATAAGCGCGGTTTTTAATGATGGGAATGAATGCTCACATTCATCTGTCCATTGAAATGGTATATTTTTAGAACATAATTTATTTAGAGGACAAGCTCTCTCTGCAAAATTCTTTATAAATTTTCTATAATAATTAGCAAAGGCTACGAAGCGCTTCACGTCGTCTGTGTTTTGTGGCCTTGGGTATTCTTCAAGTACTTTAATTTTTTCCGGATCTGGTAGTATTCCCGCTTCGGATACTAAGTGGCCTAAATAAAGAATTTCTTTTTGAAGGAATTGACATTTGGAGGGATTTAATTTTAAGTTAGTCTTTCTTAACCTAGCTAAAACGTTTAGTAAGTGTTTATTATGTTCGACCAAATTTCTACCATAAATTACCAAGTCGTCTTGGTAAACAAGGCATTGCTCGTAGTTTAAACCTGACATAGCCACCGTTATCATTCGGGAAAAAGCACTGGGGCTAGTCTTTAACCCCATAGGTAGTCTGGTCATCTGATACTGATTTTTGCTTGTAGTAAACGCTGTGTATTGTCTGCTATTTTCATGCAGGTTTATCTGATAAAAACCCTGGTACAAGTTGAGGTGCGAAAAATAAACGGCGCCCGATAGCGAGTCCAGTATGTCTGTTATATTTGGCAGAGGGAACTTGTCATCCTGAATTTGGTTATTTAATTTCCTATAATCTATGACCACGCGCCATTTCTTCACGCCGGTTGTATCTACTTTTTTAGGTACTAGTAACAGTGGACTAGACCACGCACTTCTACATTCTTCTATTATGCCGTCATCTAGCATACCTTGAATTTGTCTATCGATCTCGAACTTTTGTGAGTGGGGTAACCTATATGGTTTTACATAAACTGGGGTACTATTAGGTTTTAATTCGATTGCCTGGTGATATAATGATGTTGTTGACAACTTGTCCCCGGGTAGATGGAAAACATCAGGAAATTTGGCGCAAATATTTTCTATGGACTTTTGTTCCTCCTCATTTAAATAATCTAGTTTTAGCTGAGAGAATAATGATTTAACTCTATCCGAGTTTACTTCAGTTTGAGTATATTGACATATAAAATACTCATTTAATTTTTATGTATGCAAATTGAAATAATTTAATTTAACGACTTCATTTCTAGTATTTAATATTTTTAATGGTATTAATCCATTTACGGGACGAATTATTGTGTTCGCTAGATAAACCTCGTCACATAATTCCTGACTACTAATTACGTAGTCCCCTTTTAAATTGGTTTTAACATAATGGATACATTCGCAGCGTGCAGGTACAGTAAGATATGTTTCACTATTTTGTTTCGAATATTCAATTCTCAACACAACACTTTTTTCCGTGTTTGTCTGTAATTTCGTAGTATTTGATTGAAAATCTAACGTCGCTCTATACTTTTTAAAAAAATCTTGGCCCAAAATTCCTTCAGTTTTACATGGTAACTTTTTGAAAATGTAGAATTTATGTTCGAAGACATCGGTGCCGTGATTCAGTTTTAGATAAACATAGCCTTCCGAAGTTACAGTTCCACCAACTCCTTGATACACAGTCGCTCTTTATGGAATGGTATTCGTAAACTATGTATTTGATCATACTTGACGACGGAGAGCGATGCCCCGGTGTCGATTAACCACTTGCATTCATATTTATTTAAAGTCAATGACACTTTGTTTAAAGAATTACACGCGCAGATATAATTAGGCTCGAAAAAAATAATTGAGCGGCTCTGTGTCCGTTTTTGGTGGCTCTGTATTGTCGGGCTCTTGGGTCATGAAATGCATACTCCTATTTGAAGAAATGCGTCGATTTCCACTGTATCGACCTCGAGATGCGTTTCCGTTATAAAAATTCCTACTCTTCTTCTGATATTTACCCTGCGGAGGTCTGTAAGATTGGGACGGTCTTGATTTAGCATAACTTTGACCTCGCTGACCTTGTGTGCTCCCCATGTGAGCTCTGTAAGGTCTTTTATTAAAGTTATTTTTATATGGTGATTGTTGGTACGTACCCATAATCTCTGCTACTCCCGAAGAGGTACTTGCGGCTGTTGAAATCTCTTCGTCTTGGGCGGTCTGTATAGCATCCTTTAGCGTGCTGAAATTACGAGCTGTTATAATGGTACCGACCCTCCGATTTCGCAACCCGTCGGCAAATCTTCTGATTGCATTTTTCTCATTTATTGGGCGTAGAACGTCATAATTTTTCGAGTTTCCCTCGGATTGCGAGATCGTAAGGTCCACAAACAATTCCGTTATTTCTTTACCGAAGTCGACAATCGACTTTTCGTATTGTTTAGCCTGTTCTAATTTTGTTTGTAAGGCAGTTGCCGATTTTTGTGGCAACAGCTGCCTTTTTATGTCCCTAAGAAGTTCGTCTATTGACTGGTAAGCGGATGAAAGTCTCAATCTTGCCGACTGCGATAGTCTGGTTTTCAAGACAAATGTAATTAATTGCGTCTCACTATCCTTGTCTAAAATAGAGCTGTAATATTCTGTGGCAGATATTAGGTCTTTAGTGTTTTGTTCCGCATCCGTCATTGCGGGTAAAAGGCTTAAAGCGACCTTTAAATCGAATTTCGCCATTTTTATTTTTTCTTCTTCTTCACTACTTTCTTCACTTATGTTTCCTTCACGAGTTTGTAACAAAGTCTGAATGTTATGGTATACAGCCTTAAAATCACTACTGTATCTTTGTATTAATTTTTTCTCATGCTCATCTTTGAATTGTAACACTTTACTAATCCTATCTATATATTATGTATCATATTGCGTTACTATTTCCTCAACTTTTTGTATATACTGCTAAACTCTTTCTCCTTTCTTACTCCTACGCTTAGGTCCTATTTTAACCAAGTATTGCCGAACCGCTACCAAATCATTGCATAGTTGCTCCATGTAATCTGCCATGCATATAAATCACACTCAACCATATTTAACCAACTTATTACACTTATTTTCTTACTCTAATGATATACCTTTTTTATATATATCTAAATGAACAGTATCGTTATGCTAAAATGTCATAATTATCGTACTTTTCCGCCGTAATAAATACATAACAGTACGTACATGCCAATTTTACGTTTTTACACTTCATTGTGGTCACCTTTCACAAGAACATTAACACATATCATAGTATCGCAACATCACATCACGGGGAGGTAGATAGTCTCTTTGTAGGTTGCTAACCAATCTTCTGTAGACGTAGTGTGCCAGTTTCCACTCTACGGTTGACTCTCTTGTTGAAACATTTAAAGCAATAGCGCACGACAATGATTGTTCCGACAATTATAAAAATTAGAATAAACGCCAGCATGCACCAAGAAATCATCCCGATGTGTGTTTCTACCTGGGTGCTGGTTATTGTGTTGTGGTAACCGATTTGGGATGTAATTTGTGAAGTTTGTGGCTCCGGTTTGGAAGCTTGGGAGTTACACATTTTAAATGTTGCACACAATGTCAGTAAACGCGTATTTCATTCACTTATTGTCCGATATCATTTTTATTTAATTTGTAATATAAGTCGCGGCGCGAGCGGCAGAGCCCAAATATGGCAGGGTCGCCATGTAAGGATGGGAGCTGGTGGCGATGAGTGAAACGAGCGAAGGCGGGTATAACACTGATTTATTGAGAATAGTACGGGTATACATATAGTACGCATAGGTCTACACTACACCACAT